TCAGAGGACGAGAGAGCTCTCTGGGGAAGGGAAATTATGAGACCTGTGGCAGGGGATCACAGCATAGGGTTTCAGATCAGGGCAGTTTAACTAGAGTTACTTGATCACAGCATAGCTTTTCAGATCAGGGCAGTTTAACTAGAGTTACTAGATGACAAATGCCAAATCCAGCTTCCAGGGTCAACAAGCTGTAATTGCTGGAACTACCTTTGTTCACTTAATCCCCTGCTGCCTTGGGTCATGACAAAGCTCATTTGTCCGTTCCATTGCCAGTTGCATTGCCCAATGTATTTTTGGAGTCACTCTGTAGGTCACAGGATATTCCAGAGAAGAGGGGTCCCTGAGGAAGGGAGCCTTGCTACAAGTGGTACACTCTTCAGCTTGCCAGTGCCTCTTGAGGTGTCTATATCCCTGTGCACAGGCAGCCCCCAGCCCTCATCATGTTCAAGCTGATTTTTGAGCTCTTAAGAAAACATGTCTGGGATTTCATTTGCTTTCTGTTTTTTAGAGTAAACTCCTGGTCACATTTCAAACTCTTCCCTTCCACGGTGAAGGCCAGCAACAGCCCTCATTTAGTAAAAAACAAACCTGAGACACACAACTGCACAACAACAGGAGTGGAAGCTTTAAAGAAAACAGCCGATATCATGAGACTCATGATAATATGGCCAAAGATGGCCCCAGGAGACAGGCGAGGTCCACAGCTGCCCTCTGGCTGAAAAGCAAAGACTTGCTGCATCCTCCAGTGCCAGGGAATATGTTGCCACAGGTCTTATGGCTGTGAGAGTAGAGAGCACTTTGGAACATGCCCATTCCTACCAAAACAGCCATCTCAACAGGCCAAAGGGTGAGCCAGTAACCTGTGACAGGGCTTGCAGGTGAGTCCAGCTGGACTGAGTCAGGCCTGATCCCACTCCCACTCAGGGTCCAACACATCTGACAGGACAGAGCTTTGATGAGTCTTTGTGCCGGCACACAAGCTGGATCCTCTTGCAACAAGGGAAAATCTTCACAGAAAGAGTTAATTTTGCTGCCAGCATCCACATTAGTATTTTGTGGGCTGTTGCAGGCTCCCACTCCCTCAGCACTTGCTGTCCCTTTATTTAAGAGGAGGTAAAGCCCAGCAGGCAAGAAGACCTGCATAATATAAGAAAGCCTCTTCCAGGGAAGTGAGAAGCTGTTGCCAGCAGGGGAGGGGTGTTGAGAGTCAGTATAAAGACTAACCCAATATGTAAGGTCACTATCGACTGCAGATGTCTGGCAGCAGAGTCAAGGGCGCGTTCTGTAGTAGGGATCAAGAGCTGCTACACTGCTGGGGCAATGTTCTGAATGGGATGGTGACTGCAGCTGTTCTTTTAAGGCAAGGCTCTTGCAGAGTAGCTAGTTCTCTACCCTGTGCCACCCTAATAGGCTCTCTAGGCCTGGCTGGTGCAAGGGAGGGCAGGGTTAGCTCAGCTTCCATGAAGTGCAGAGCATGAGCCCACCTGCAGGCTGCTCGTCTGCCAAGCTGCTGGCAAGCCATCTTGGAGCAGGCAAAGGATGTGAACAAACCAACCCTCCTTTCTCCTGATTCCAGAACCTCTTCAGTATGGCAAGGCTAGGCAAAGGGAGGCAGAAGGGAAAAAGAAGAGGGCAGCAGGTCTCAGCTGCTGAAGGTCTATGGAGTATGTGGGCAACTTAATATGGTCCCATGAGGAAGCTACTTCCTGCCTGCCCTCTCTTTACACAACTCGTATTCAGACGATGAGCTGACCAGTGGCAACATAACTTAACTGGCTGAGATCTCAGCCCATTAGGAGTAGATTGCTACCCACAGAAGAACCCATTAGATCCCTATTTAATTCACTGTTTTGTAATGGAGGGGTGGCCATCCTGCAAGATGTCTGGCTGTTGCAGTCCCTACAGTGGGCAGCCCCAGCTGTGGAAAGCCTACAGCTCATCAGCTGAGCTGTGTGAAAGAGGAGCCTTCTCCTGGATGCCCCTGTCCTTGGGGGTCCCATGGGTGCCTGGTTCCAGGTGGCTGTCTGCCCCCGTGGGCTCCTCCTTCCTGTTCCTCTTTTTTTCCTCTGCTGTCTCCTTGTTTTTGCCACCTTTCTTCTTGGTCTTCTTCTGCCCTGCATTTGCTGTGTCCCCCTTCTTGTCAGTCCACTGTTCTGTCAGACAACCTGCAGGGATGGTGTGAATGAGAAGGGAGCAGTGAGACCATGGGGCTCCCCCTCCCCATGCTGATCCCCTAACCCCCGCTGGTTCTTTGTCCATCTCACCAACTGCCTCTACATGCCAGGCTAAGAGGCAGCACCTTCCATTCACTCTTCTCTCACACATGTTACCCCAATGCTGAGGCACTCAGTCTGCCCCCACTGAAAAGTCAACACCCCATTGCATCTGCCAAAGTCAAACTCACTTGTATCTTTCCCTTTCAGCACATGGTCTGCACAGAGAAACTGGGAGAGGTCTTCTTTCTGGTGATGTCTGTACCAGTCTTCAATCACATCTTCATACTCCTCCACCAGCACATCACACTGGAGCAGAGAGAGAGCAAAGCCCAGTTCCAAGGACAACCCCAGACATGTACATGCTAAGAGGACACAGGGCCCCAAAAAGGACAAGCTTTACAAAAATGGATAGTTCGCGCACTGTGGCAAACACTTTGAACAGGACACCATGCTCCAGTCTGAGGGAGCTTTCTCTGATCTCTTAGCTCAGCATCTGAAGTGCTGGGTAACGCTGAACTCCACACCTATTGGCCATTGCTGCACTCCACCCCAAACAAGCAGTGACTGGTTGCTAGCACTCGCACAGTACCTGTTTCTTGAGGTCAGCTACTTCTGCAGAGGTCTCATTCCACAGCTCGTAGGGAATGTCCATCACCACCTTTACCCCTTTGTGTACCAGGTTGTGCAGCGTTTCAAAGGTTTCTGACATTCCCTGAAGGGACAGAGTAACCAAGATGAAGAGCTTTTAGATGAGCAAGAAGAGGTGGTGCACAGGCTCTGTGATCAAGCAGTGTCCAGTGCTGCTGAGAGCACCCATGAGAGCCAGGTCAGCAAGCAGTGCTACCTGCACCCTCAGTAGGCTTCTAGGCCATCTGCCAGGATCTTCTCAGTGCCCAAGACCCTTGGGCTCCAGCTGTGTCTGGGCTGTGGCCCATGCACCATGCCCTGGGTACAGCATTGGTGGTTATCCATTGCTACGCACCTGCCCTTTGCAAGGCCCAGTACTGTAGTAAAGAATGGCACAGGAAGCAGTATGTCCCACTGGCACTTCCATGTATGCCAACAAACGTGCTCTTTTTGTGAGCATGTTTACTGTTTATGAGCATACTGCTGAATCCAAACTTGGCCAGGTCCCAGCTCTCAGAAGCAGATCTCCCCCTGCTGTGTACGCATTGCAAGAGCTGAGCCATGGCCCTCTCCAGAGGGAGATCTGTTTTCTCAGAAGCTGCATAAGCTGCCAGGGGACTACACGCATGGATCAGTGCAGATCCTGAGCTCACCTTTGATGAAATGAAGATTTAACTGGGCTGGGAATAGTCCCAGCTATATTTTTAGGACAATTACCTGCTTGCCCCCAATCCCAATAAGAGCACAAGAACTGCTCTGCATGGGCCTCTTACACAAGCTCACTGATAAATGGTGTGGGGGGGTGGATTGCCCCTCTACTCTGAGCACCTCTGCCACAGCTCCTCCACTATGGCTTCCCACTATGCAGATGGTTGGGTGTGAAGTGCTCTTGTCTGGAGAGCCTTTGACCAAGGAGAGGAATGGAGGGAAAATTTAATTAAGGATGCGAGTGAGGGAGAGGAACAAGGCAGCCTCAGCTGGACCCAAGTCCTGTACCTGGGGAAACTTATTTCTCAGCAGATGGCCCTAAGATAAGATCAGATGCCCTCTGTTAATCAAGTGCTGGGAGAAGAGGTAATGTTTCTTCCATGCAAACACTAGGGAGGGAGGGGATGAGAGATGTGGCAAACCTTTGCAAATCGATTGCTTCCACTTCTCTCTTTGTGCAAGTTGTAGTCCAGCAACCGTTTACAGATGTTCTCTGTCACTTCGATTAGCCGGACATCCCTGCACAGATAAAAGGAAACCGGTGAAAAGAGCTACAGGCCTTTGGGTTAGAAAAATACTAGCTGGAGGACAAAACCAGCAGGTTAGAAATCAACATACAAAATGAAAGGCTTGGGGCAGTGTCCTTCTTCCCACTGCTCACATTTCTGACATGGTGCTGGGCCCGGCTCCAATCTTCCTAAGCAGGGGTCCAGTAAAGGTGGGACCCTCTTCCTCCAAATGCTGCTGTTCTCACCACCACAGCTCTGCTCACCATATTACCCCATCCCCTATACAGGTACTGCAAACAAACAGTCTTCTTTCTCAAAGCCTCCTGGGACCTGCAAAGGTTTATCACTACCTTATGTGAGGTTCCTGGGAACAGCAAAGGAGGTGCTGCACAGAGCGTCCCTGCTACTCCCACCATAGCCTCCATTTTCTGGGTTCCTATCTCATGCAGGCAGCACCAGTCACTTGGGGCTTTCTGCAGCAGCAGCAGACACTGCATACAAGTAGTTCTATTCTTGCCTCAACATTTGGAACCACAGGAGTCAACCTGTGCATTACCTGTCCACTTCACTGTAATGCTTCTTGGGAAAGCACCAAGCAGAATTGTGAAACTTCCTGCCTGAAGCCCCAGAGCGCAAATTGCCTCAGTTGCTTTGCTCAGGCTTGAATGATCATCTTTGCAACCAAAATACTCAGAATTCAAAGACATGCAGCAGTCTTATACTCTAGGTCCTTCCCCTAAGTTAAGGGACCAAATATCACACTTCTGTCTAAAGCCATTCACCTGCTCTTGCTGCTTGTAACACAGGGCAAGCACAAAGAAAAAGTAGGTGTACTTTGTGTATGCTGAACATACTGTATATGTAAGGCAGCATTGCTGCTCTGCTGCACTCAGTATCATCTCTTTGGATCAGCATTTTCTCACAGCAGCAGTGGAGTAAAACATGTAAAGGAATTAATTGTATGGTAGTACAACCATAGAAGTGGCCATGGGGGGTGTCAGGCGCAGGCAACAATACTGAAACTCAAGTGATTAGATTTGAATTGACTGGGTCTCTGGAAAAACACAACATTTAGAACAAAATTACCGTATTGCATTAACTGAAGTGTGTACTCTGCCTGGAACACCAGGTTGCCTTGTGATCGTGAAGTTACAGCTGCTTAGGTGCTATCCACTGATTTACCCAGATGTTGCTTCCCAAAAAGCTGCAGAAAGAGACAGCTTTGGCAGTGTGAGCAGGAGCTCAAAGCCAGGGTCTGGCACACCGTGGATGGGGGCAGCTAATTCTGAAGCTGAGTAGTTCTCAGAGAATGCCTTGGCAAGTCTCTTTTTCTGTTTATGTCTCAAGGGCTCCACCTTGAATCCTGAGATTTTTCTAGCCTTGCTTGTTAGCCTGAGGGCTGCAGTTGAGACCCCATGGATTCTTCAGGAGTTAAACTCACCATGGAGCCATGCTTCAGAATCTCAGCTCTGGTTTTAGAAAGCTCTTCCTCTACAACTGTGTGGGCAACAAAATATGAACTAAATGGAACAGAATCAGTGTCTTCTGCTGCAACTGCTTCCTCCTTCACTAACAGAACCCCCTACAGTCTAATAGCTAACAGCTTCCACAATGGCGTGACAAGTTATCCATGCAAATCTAGCATGCACTAAGAATCTGAAAGGTTGGGATAGGGTAAATACATGGAATTTACTAGCAAAGCAAGCCAGGACCTCTGGAACAAGTTGAGTTTGAGTAACAAAACCTCCTAGAACAGTGAAGAGAAGCTGGTGCAAAAAGCTGCAGAGCCCCAGTCAGTTTCACTGCAGAGCCTGGGGACCATGCAGAACAGCTACACCCAGATAAACCCCTGTCATTAGCTTTAGATCTGTAAGTTCTGACAAGCAATGGAGCAGCAGCACCTGACAGAGGGACCACTCTAATCCTGTCATTGGCCACATGTCAAACACATCTTAACAGCAAAGATGCTGCTGGAAAGATGCTCTGGAAAAGGGGGAGGAAGTCTTTGTTGCCAAAAACAAGGGGAAGACCTCACTCCTCTGGAAGTGAGCTCTGTGAAGCAATTTAATAGCTCAAGGGAGCAGCAAGGCAACCAGCAGACAGATGTCAGAAGCTGTTTCACTTACGATTGTGTATACTTGACTGCAGACCCTCTTCCATCCAGGAAGCCGTACTTTGTGTCAATCACTTCCTTTGTCTTCCCAGTTTCCTCAAAAGCAGATTTCAACTCTACTGCCACATACTTACATACTGGGGAAGAGAAGAGAAAACACAGGTAGATTAGCAGACCTGGATGGATTTCACTTGAGGACCATGTGTGATCCTTTCACCAAAGGACCATGTGTATTTAAGGCAGGACTAAGGTATTGTGTAGGCAGGTGACTGTATTATGCACACCGGTAATTAAATCATCTTTATGCAGTTTGGTTTCTGAGAATATATCTTCTATTTAATAGGCAAAAAACCTCCATGGAAAACCAAAGACAGAGCTCCTTTGGAGCACAAACACTGAATTAGAAGTTGCTTTGACACAACTACATCCAAATACACAGCCAGCTGTTACCTCAACATAGGGGGAATCCCCCAAATTATGCATCACCACCTGTGGGATGGATATGCCATAACCCTTTGCTTCTTCCCAGGCATTCTAATATTATAAAAGCCTAAATCTGTCTGTCTGTAATGCTTTATTCGCAGTCAGCCAATCAGAGTGCGAACAAGTGTTTGAACAGGAGCTGGTGGCAGTGGAGCGCCACCATAATAGCAGGGACACAGGGGATGGAGTGGGGGGAGCTGGCCTTGCCTCCCCTCATCCTGCTCCCTGGAGGTGGGGGCAATGGAGCAGATGGAACAGGGGGGCCAAGGCCAAATGATGGAGCAGGGAGAGGGGAGTGCAAGGCCACCGGAGCTGGCCCTGCCCTCCCCCCCTTACTTTTTGCAGGTGATGGTGGCAGTGGCGCAGGGGGGAGCGGGCTCAGGATACCATGGGGGGGATGGCCCCTGGCTCTGGCCTTGGCCTGCCCCTCCCCACTTCCATTGTTGCTGCTACCTTCAGGGCCCAACAGCAGGATGAGGTAGTGGCGGTGGGTGGAATAGCAGGCACGCAGCCATGGTGGCAACAGTGTGGGGAGGGGAGGAGTGGGCCTGGGCTTGATACAGGGGAAGACCAAGCCTGAGGATGGGGAGAAGCTGGGCTGCCATGGTGGGGGGGAGCAGGGGGCCCAGGCTGACCT